TCAACAAAGCGTTGTTGAACCGAATTAAAAACTCAGCAGATGCCCAACTTAAAGATCAATGGACTGCATTCCTTAAGAATCAGTCATGTACTGACTAAATCGCTACACAACGAATCATTGTTGTACATTCAATTGAATGGGACTGGTCACTATACATCAGACAGCTAAATTATGACAAAACATGCAACAGCGTGGAACCATCTTCGACACTATGAAGTGAGTACCTGACGACACGTAACTGGCTTGACTAGAACATACGTATGTTAACGTGCCAACAAATACGTATCGGATATAGGAAGTAAGATTCTTGAAATACATCAGTTACATAAGTGACAATACCATGTTATGGTCAACCGTTATCAATGATGATTATTGTTTTACTATCTTTAGTGTTAAAGTAATATACAAAAAATGTTTTACCACATGAAGTCAATCACTAGTGAGCAGATGATTATTATCTGAAGGGGTTTTGTGGAGAGTTTTAGAAATTTCAATAGTTGAAATCATGAATCAATTGAAACTAGACCACCATGGAAAATCTGGAAGCATTGGATGACCCTTTCGTTCTAGTATGAGACTCTTCCATGGTAGTGCGCATTCACGATCCCGCCTTCGTCGAGATTCATACACAGGAATCATGATATCAACTACTGAAATTCCTAAAAACTCCATAAAAACTTTTCAAAAAATGTTATAATGAATTTAATAGATATCTAACAAGTTCACACGAAGTAACATCGACCATGTTTTGTTCGAACTTCTTACGTGGACTTTTCCGGTTTTAATGGAATTTTCTTTCGATCCACTTCATATTTCAACAAAATTAATGTTATTTTTGTAGCGAGAAATGGTGGATAGTGGCTAGCAGTGGAATCGAGGAAGCGCGTTTCGTCTTATTTGGGACTCGTCAGCTGGATGTACCTGCATCTCAGAGTTGATGTTCACTCTGGGACTCGAACCCAAGGTACCGTTCGCTCCAAACTCCATCGCGTTATCCACTTAGATACTGAGTCCTGATAGCTACTTGCTTGTTAAATGGGGTGAATTTAAATTCAATTGGTATTGTTTGGCTTGTATCTTCCCATTGAGGTTTAAGACTGCAATTGATCAGTCTTAAACCTCAATGGGAAGATACAAGCCAAACAATACCAAGTGAAAATTAATGTTACATCTTAAACTACTAGTAAATTGTTAGTAGTAAGATTGTTTAATGATACATTTCAAAGATAACTGATGTCAATCGGAGAATCATTCAAAATTAAGAAGAACTGAAGAACTGTTTCCTCTTACTTCTAGAGGTCTTTACATAAACACAAAGAGAAAACCCCTGAGTCTGTGTAGAACTCAATGGTTCATTATTCTGGCGCTCAATGATTTTCAGTTTCAATCACTCATTAGCCAATACTAACTAGTGATGTATTGCATGAACCATTGATAAAAATATTCACAACTGCGTGTTTCACCAAGTATATCCATACTTACAAATCAAACTTGAGTTTATCACCTCTTGTGCTTGAAATTGTTAATTGGAGTTTTCCCTTCAATTGTGTGAAGCCTTACCAGATATCTGCTCACATATTACTCATCATGATTATAAACAGATTTACGGATACTATTATGTTGTCGCTTATTTCAAAATGTAATATATCTCTGAGGGTTCATTTCATAATACCTGAAGAAACATATTATTTACTTACTTACGCCTGTTACTCCCAATGGAGCATAGACCATCGACTAGCATTCTCCAACCCACTCTATTATCGGCCTTCCTTTCTAGTTCTATATAATTGTTGTTTATTCTTCTCATATCCGTCTCCATTTCTCGACGTAATGTGTTCTTTGATATTCCTCTCCTCCACCTTTGACCTTGAGGATCCAAGGTGAGGGCCTGCCTTGTGACTTATTTGTGTGCTTTCCTCAATATTTGTCCTACCCATATCTAACACTTCTTCCTGATTTCTTCTTCTGGAATCTGGTTTGTTCTCTTCCACAGTGGGTTGTTTCTAATAATGTCTTTTTTCTGGTTAACATATTTTTAGCGAGTTAGTTTTCTACGAGATGAAGACATTAACCCAATGTCCAACCCTCCTCCTTTATCCGGGCTTGGAACCTGCGGTAGCACTAGAGGGACTCCACACGGAGTTGAAATAACATATAGTAACACTAATTACTTAAGTATAATTTTTAGGACTCAATCAAAATAAAATAAAATAATGAAAGTAACCTAGTGGGTTAATAAAAGTGTAAAGATATTTTTTAAGCTGTACAGTCTTGTATATAGATGTTATGTCCCGATAAGCATAATGAATAGTAACTTTTGGGATTCATTTATGGACCTGTACTATACGTAATATTTCTATCGTCTAATTGTTATGTAACTAAACTATTCATATTCACAACCGTCTCATTATGAGCTTTATTTTGATCTATGAACTATTATACTACGCTTTGCTATTCTTGAATTATGTCCTATCTATTAATCACTACCTTCCACATTCACAGACGTATTTAGCCAAATCTCGTACAAATGTTATTTCCTAGTTTATGGTACGTTGTAGTCTGCTTGTTCGGTATATAAAAGCGGTATATTTGAAATACACGATGTATATTGTAGAAGCTATGATTGGTGTTCTGGACTTAACTGGCAGACAGGGCTAGGCAATTAGCGAGACCAATCACGACTCTAGACTGCTTGTATGGATTTTATGCGTTATTGGTTCGATCGATAATTCACTGCTCTCTAAATGGCTGCTACAAATTTATAGCAATAGGTAGTTTTACATCTATTAATCTGTAATACAATACAGGAGTATTAAAGAATGTTAAACATTTTCATTTGTGGAATATAAAGATGACTAAAAGCCTTGAGGTATATCTCCTCGATACAAGGTCATAAATACTCACTGCTGAATAATTCAATATTAGAACAAAACGACTGTCTAGTGCTTTTAGCTTCTCAGTATTGATTTAGATAAGATCAACTATTGATTTAAACTATGATATGATATAATATTGCATTATTTAACAAAGTTGGAAGATGTGGAATCCTTCACATACGTGGGAAGCATCGTCGATAAACAAGGAGATTCAGATGCAGACGTATAGGCGAGGATTGGCGAAACAAGGGTCGCATTCCTTCAATCGACGAACATATGGAACTCGAAACAACTGTCTGTCAACAAATATCAAAGTCAAAATCTTCAATACGAACGTCAAGACAGTTAGTTCTATTGTACGGAGCTGAAACTTGGAGAACTACAACAACCATCATCAAGAAGGTACAAGTATTTATCAATAGCTGTCTACGCAAGATACTCAACATCCATTGGCCGGATACCATCAGCAACAGCCTTCTGTGGGAGAGAACAAACCAGCTTATAGCTGAAGAGGAAAATTAGGAAAAGACGATGGAAATGGATAGGACATACATTGAGGAAATCATCAAACTGCATTACGAGACAAGCGCTAACTTGGAATCCTGAAGGGAAGCGGAAAAGTGGAAGGCCAAAGAATTCATTACGTCGGGAAATAGAAGTGGATATGAAAAGGACGAATAACAACAGGAAAGAGCTTGAAAGGATTGCTTGTGTCGGGGTTGGATGGAGAATGCTGTTGAGCGGCCTATGCTCCTTCACGAGGAGTAACAGGCGTAAGTAAGTAAGTAAGTAAGTAAGTAATTTAACAAAGTGGTAAAGAATTAAACATCAACGATTTTAGTTGGGCAATATTCTTGAAGGGACTAAGACATAACAATGATGAATATCTTCTTTGCAAAGATAAAGGAGTAAAAGAAGGTGAAGAATATTATAATGATTCATATTTATGAGGTGTCAGATTAGAAGGGTTGTTAATATCATGTAGGAATGGAAGTGGTTTAAACATAAACATGTTTATATACACTGGTCAGGCTGGAACTAATGAATGTATTAATTTCTAATCCCAATTTATTTAATCCAATTCTTTTCATTTAGTATACAATCTTGGAAGATAGGATTTACGTAGCGGCTTGTGGCTAAAAGCTATGATAGATTTAGAATCTTTCACTTACATGAATGCATAGCATCATCAATAATCTGGTAGAATCTGATGCAAACGTAGTGATGAGGGTTAGTAAAGCAAGGACAGCATTTCTACAATTGAAGAATATATGGAACTAAAGATAACTATCCAGTGATAGCTCATAACAAAATCTGAAGTTCTTAGGTTTCATCCTCCAACGGAGCGATTGCTGCATTTTAGTTAGGAATCCCGCATTAGGACCTAACCACTATCCAATACTTCCTGATTTCTTAATGGTTTGCTCAAATAAGTTCAATTCTTAATGTAAACAAAAAACATGACTAATTGAAGTGATATGATCAATACTTAGGAACTCAGCTTTTACCATGGGGTGTCATAACTCTTCTAAATGAAGATCTTCTAACTTCTAGGGTGGCAGAACTTAAATGGTTTGAATTATTTTTTATGGTTAGCATTTTTTTTAGCGAGTTAATTTTCGCTAACCCAATGCCCAACCCTCCTGCTCCTTTATCCGGGCTTGTGACTAACAATAGCCTCAGGAAGGGGGCTCCAGGCCGAGTTACTTCATACTCATAGGGGATGGGGGAATCGCTAACTAGATGTATCATCATCATCATCATTATCATAAAAAAAGTAATAAATTAATGAGCCTGTCTATATTTATGCTTCATTTTATTTTGTTGACAGAAACGTCAATATTAATGATACAGGAGAATAGTTTCAATTTAAATAAGTGTGCTTTATATTTGTGTTGTTTGTGCATTTTGTGTGTGTGTGTGAGTGTGTATGTGTGAGTGCATGTGTGCGTGTGTGTCTGTGTATGTTTATATGTATATATGTGTGTATGTATATGTGTAAGTGAAAGGACAAACTATTTCAGTGGAGAACAGGCAATGCATAGTAACACATCTATCATATTATTGTATGTATATAATAGGTATTTGCACTATATATACTATATTAATGTATTTAGGTCAAATACATATTATAACCAATACAATTCATGTCAAATCAGAATATATATAAAAAGGCTTCTGTATGATCATAGAAACAAAACAAAACAGAAAAAATAAGAGTGTATAGAATTACATAATCATATTGATAATACATATAGAGTGATAAGTTGCTGTGATATTCAAGCAGGTATCTCACTTACTTAGTTACTTAGTTAGTTACTTAGTTACAGCTGTTACTCCTAGTGGAGCATAGGTTGCCCACTAACATTCTTCAACGCATTACTATCCTCAATAATTCAATCACGCACTCTAATCACATTATAATTAAACAATGGTAAGTTTCTATTATAAATAAGAATACTAATACTAATACTATTTCTATATTATTATTATTATTATTATTATTAGCGTGAATGTATTAGTTTACATATTGGTCAAGCTGGTGTACAAATGGGTAATGCATGTTGGGAATTATATTGTTTAGAACATAATATACAACCAAATGGTTATATAATCACTAATGATATTAATCATAAAATCGATGGTGCATTTAATACATTTTTTATGGAAATCAATTCTGGCAAACATGTACCACGAGCTATATTTATTGATTTAGAATCAAATGTTATTGATGTAATACGATATGGTATATATAAAGAATTATTTCATCCAGAACAATTAATTACTGGTAAAGAAGATGCTGCTAATAATTATGCAAGGGGTCATTATACTGTTGGTAAAGAAATTATTGATTTAGTATTAGAACGTATACGTAAATCTACGGAACAATGTAATGGTTTACAAGGATTTTTAATATTTCATTCATTTGGTGGTGGTACTGGTTCTGGTTTTACATCATTATTAATGGAACGTTTAAGTGTTGAATATGGTAAACGATCTAAATTACAATTTGCTATATATCCTGCACCACAAATTGCTACAGCTATAGTTGAACCATATAATTCTATATTAACTACACATACAACATTAGAACATTCTGATTGTGCTTTTATGGTTGATAATGAAGCTATTTATGATATTTGCAAGTAGGTTATTTACTTTTCATATATGTATATCTAGTAGTTAGTATCAGAAGTGGGTTTTGTGAAGATTATAGTCATAAGTGATGTCGACTACCATAGAGGAGTCCTACAATAAGACGAAACAGTCGTTTAATACCTTCAACTTTTCCATATTGGTCTAGCTTTAAGTGATTCATGATCTGAACTATTTAAATTACTATAATCTCCATAATATTTATTCTGTTACTAATCAACCTATGTTCATTAGTGAGTAGCTTTAAGAGATATATTGTGGAGTTCTAGTGAGAAACCGTTACCAGTGGAGTTTAGTCAGGTCTGTTGTCAGATCGTAACTCATTGATAACAATAGAGGGCGCTAGCGCATCTTCTTGGATTAATTAAAGTTAAACGTTAACACTGTTGCATTCCGGCCGGTTCAATAGTCTACTGGTTAAGCACTCGTGCACGAGATTAGATTCGTATCCCGTTAGGCTGGATCGCGGATACTCATTGCCACAGAAGAGTCTCACAATAGGACAAAACGACTGTTAAGTGCTTCCACATTTTCCATATTGCTCTAGCTACAATTCACTTATAATCTCAACTAATGTAATATATATATATATATATATGGATTGTTTATTTCTTATTTTTCCTATAGAAAGAATTTAGGTATTGGACATCCTACTTATACGAATTTAAATAGATTAATTGCTCAAATAGTTAGTTCAATTACAGCTTCATTACGTTTTGATGGTGCATTAAATGTTGATTTAACAGAATTTCAAACAAATTTAGTACCATATCCACGTATCCATTTTCCATTAGCTACTTATGCACCAATTATTTCATCAGATAAAGCTTATCATGAACAATTAACTGTATCTGAAATAACTAATTCATGTTTTGAATATGGTAATCAAATGGTTAAATGTGATCCAAGAATAGGTAAATATATGGCATGTTGTTTATTATATCGTGGTGATGTTGTACCAAAAGATGTTAATGTTGCTATAGCTAATATTAAAACAAAAAAATCAATACAATTTGTTGATTGGTGTCCAACTGGTTTTAAAGTTGGTATTAATTATCAACCACCAACAAATGTACCTAATGGTGATTTAGCTAAAATTCAACGTGCTGTATGTATGTTAAGTAATACAACTGCTATATCTGAAGCATGGGCACGTTTAGATAGAAAATTTGATTTAATGTATTCAAAACGTGCATTTGTACATTGGTATGTTGGTGAAGGTATGGAAGAAGGTGAATTCACTGAAGCACGTGAAGATACAGCTACATTAGAAAAAGATTATGAAGAAGTTGGTTGTGATACTATTCTATTAGATAATAACAATGATGATGATGAACAAGAATTTTAATTTATTGATCAATTAAGTTTGATTGAATTATAATTATAAAGTACATTATTGATTATTGATTATTATTATTATTATAGTTATTATTATTATTATTGTATCCACTGGATACTTTATCAAATCCATAACACGTGAATATGATGTATCCATCTTAGTAACAAAAATATAAAAAGAAATAGTACTTTAGAATAGTTTTTTTTTGTTTTTTGTTGTTGTTGTTTTTTTTTGTTTTTTTTTAAAAAAAGTATATTCTATTGTCATATGCGGTGAAATTTTGAATGAACACTTATGTGTTACCATGTTGTTGTTGTGGTGGTGGTTGTTTTTGTTGTTATTGTTGTTTTCTAATGATTTTAACATTAGATCCGATTTTTTGACAAGTTTTTCTATATGAATCAAATCAATATTATATACACATATATATCACAACTTAATCATATTGTGGTATGTGTTTGTGTGTATGAGTGTGTTACTTATATCGATATGAGTAGTATATAATGATAGTTAAGATTAGGATGTCTAACAGTAGAAGATCAAGAAAGAAAGAATAGCTATAGAAAGTAATTGGGCTAAGATTCTCATTTCTGGGCAACCATTGGACGAATCTTCAGTGACCTTGAGAAGTATTAACCAATCAGCAAACAGTACGTACTGAGTAAAAATATATTGTACAGAACCAAAGAAATAAAGTGGATACACTTCTTATATGTGGTTCAAATACTAGTCAAGGTTAGATAGAGGTTCAAAGGTTCTAAAACTGGAATGTACGAAGTAGATGAAATCATCCATACGGCTACAGAATAGTCAGCATCTGGAGCCATGATAAAGTCGCAAAAACTCGTTCAGCCTCGACTATATAGCCTCAGTATTGTTTGTGTGCACTCTGGTTGTTGAGTACACTTATGGATAACGACACGATGCACATAACCAAGCTTATGTAGGAGTATGTACGCTCTCCAAACCATTCGTATATGTTGTAGTGTAGTGAATAAGAACACCGATGGCGACAATCATATATGTACGATACAAATTTACAGAGTTTGTTAATCAAATCGAACAATCATATAGTAAGTACTTAATTTGCAAAATGTCTATCGATTGTCTTAACATAACGCAGACTTCATTGTCCTTACGTTTTCATACAAACTGCATTCTGTTTCCATTCTTTACTGTTCGATCCTTTTGTCTCTCTGCTGCCAGACATCCTGTTCACGACTAACATTATATACTACTGATGTCGACATAAGTAGCACACATCACAGTAGCACCTGGCTGCAGCCAGTGTTACTGATGCTTACATTATCCAGTTCGCGATAATTGTTATAATTTGCCTTAGTTATAAATTATAATAATATAGGGTTTTCATCACAAACTAACATCAGCTATAATGCCAGAGATCGATTTACCCAAATGGATGAAAGGATTTCGAGTTAAAATCCGAGATCTATTATCTTAGACCTCATTGATACATCCACAAAATATAGTCATGCCGTTTTATTTGTTATAGCCACTCAATTATCACGTTTTGTACAAAATTCCATATCAACCGATCTTACATTACCATTAAGCATTGAAGTTGGCGCCGTAACCTTGGAATCTCTAAAACGCTTCTGATTAGAATGTTACCGTAATTGGTATGAAAATGTAAGAGTAATGATTTCTGAGATGATTGATTAACATTGTACATATGAAGTATTTACTGTATGATTCTTAAATTATACTTAGATGTTTTGTAATTAGTGTGCTCCACTATATCCGATTATTCCTAATTGTGTTCACGTTTATTACATAGTTTATGACATTATGTATTTGAATCAGATAGATTTTGTTTAATTTGATTCATTCTAATATTAAGATAACTATTATATACTACTAGTTGTACTACTTACGCCTTATACCCTTCGTAGAAGAGTATAGGCTGACCACCAACACTTTCCATTCAACCCTATTCCAGTTGCTACTTATTCTTTTGATGTCTGCTTCCAATTCTCAACTGAGTATGTGCTTCGGCTTTTTCACTTTTCTGTTTCCCTTTTAGAATTTCTAATTAGAGCTTGTTCCATGGTGCAGTATTGATGATTTCCACAATCTATGTTCTATCTACTACAAACAGGTTTTCTTAATATTAAGAGTAATAAATTGATTAACAATGAAACTATATTTAGTCATTAGAAATTCATTGAATTATGAAATAATGGAAAAGATTTGTAACTAAGTAGGGTCATTTTAATGATATTATAAGTTGATAGTTTAATCACTATCTTTTTATGATTAGGGTTTGTTATGACCTTGAATTGTCTACCCACTTTTTGGTGCCGAGGATACTTATCTAATCTAGATTTAGACTTTGATGCGATAGGTTGATCGCCTTAACCTGGAGACTAGTACGCGTGAGTTCGTGGTGGGGTAGAGAGAAGAAAACTATTCTGTCACCTAATTGGTGGGCAACTACACGAATGAGAGAAGACAAGACAATTGGAACACTACTCGATCTATTTCCCTGACCACTGAACTCACTGGATTCACTGGATTCAGATTAGTGTAAAAAGGTACATGAATAAATAAGTGAATAACCCGACCGCAACGTACAATAATTAGGAAAAATACAATTATGTCCAAAACTGGGAATTAGAGTAGGAAATAGGGTGCAAACTATTATGTTTAAATGACAATAGCTCCGGAACAGAGAAGGGTATGGCAGTGAATGATACATCGAACGAAAGCTTATGTTCTGTAGAATAGATTAGGAACAATAATAATTGTGACTGTGTTTTAAAAGCTTTGAATAAAATGAAATAACGTCCCGAAAAATAGCCTTCGTAGTTTATCAGGGCTTCTTGTTTCCCGGTTCACATCAGGGTTACAGTATTATTTAAGAATATGATAAAACCTTTATAATTCAATGTTCTAGTATGGTAGATGTAATTTCATTAAATTAATTTACATGACATTTACAGAATATACTACTTAATTGTAGCTATTACCTCGATGTGATGACTGAGCATCCATACTGTAATAACCCAATCAAGTTACACTAGTTAGAATACTCTTTTGTTTAAGCCATATCATTCTAAACAAGTTGAATGAAGAGCGATAAGGTAAAGAAGGAAGCAAACTTGAGTTTAACAAATGAACTGGTACAACGGACTCTATAAGTGTGTGATTCAAGTAAGCCATTTCTTTCGAACTATTAGGATCTTCAGGAATGCAGCCTTTCCACAACGAAATGGGAAACTAGAAAAGAATAAACCTAACAATAATACATCACATCTTCCCCACCACCACCACCACCACCACGGATTTCTGTAACCGGTAATAAGACATTAAATGTATGGAGCTAACTGTGTTAACTAGGAGTATTTCAATTATAGTACAAACTAAGAATCTGAAATATAATGCAATTCAAATCAAGAAGAACTAGATGAGCACGAATGAACATACTTCATTTGGAATTCAAAATCAGTCAGTTATCATATACAAAAGGACTCATCAGCTCGTACAAACATTACAGCTAAGACATTCACAACTACTTACAAACAGGTTGCATATGACTGCCTTTAAACAATTATCACTTGATTCAACAATATTAACTAAATTTCCATTTCTAGTCCTTTGAGAAGAGAGTTCTTTCATGATATAGGTAACCGGGAAGTGCCAATCATCCTTACAGTACTCCAGAGTGTATTCAATGTATAATTGTAACAGTTATTAAATTGAATCATTAAAGTATAGGAAACATATATAAACCTCAACCCTGTGACTAATCTTTCCTAATAATCACTTAGTAGAAATGTATATACTTATCTATTTGCCTAACCACTGAATGTTTCATTCCTTGTTTCAATCTTTAATTTATCATCTTTATTGTTTAATACTAGTCGTGGAAACGTCAAGTTTTGTGTTCAGTTTAATAGTGTCTATGCAAATTGAAATAAATACCTCGTTCGTCAAATAGGATTGATCTGATTAATAAGACAGATTATACTTGTGATGGATACTACTTATATTGACATGTATAAGTAATATATGGAATGCCTGCCAGAAGAAGATTCAACTAAAGAGAACAGAATGGGAAACAGAGAGTAATTGTGTTAACAACAGAATTGAAAGAATCATGAAGCATGTAAAGTACAACGGAAGGAAGCTGTGTAAATAATGTATTTTTTAATGTATGGTTTTCATATTTTATCAAAGCCCTGTAATTTTGGCCACCCCCTTCTCTGAATTAAGAACTCCGCCTGGAGTCCCTTCGGGGGGCTACTGCCGGTCCTAAGCTCGTATAAAGAAGGAGGGTTGAGCATGGGGTTAATGACCCCATCTCGTAGAAAACTAACTCGTTAAAAAAACACTAATCAGAAAAAATCATTCAGATCCTGAATTAAAGGTAATACGTACAGGATGCACATATGTCAATAAGAGACTGATCAATTGCAGTCCTAAACATCAATGGGAAGATTCAAGTAAAACAATATCAAGTGAATTGACTAATTGGTTCTCGTTCTACTTAGTACTTATCAGTGAATAATCTTGTAGGAACCATTACTTCATTATAAAATTCAAACTAACATCATCCAGTTACAAAGTTAGAAATTTCATCACTGAATTATTCTTATAAAAATGAAAACATTTAGATTGTTTGATCATTGCATAGTAACTAATGTCTTTGTCTTTGTCTTATACTTAGTACTGGTTATGTTTTATCGATAAAGTAACAGTGAAGTCAATAGTTTTAGTAACTCTGTATCACATACAGTATGTTTTGGTGTCAATTCCTGAGTGGCAGCTGGCAGAGATCCCTAGACATACGTTTCATCCAAGTTGAAATGAATCAGTAAAGTAGGCATGAATTCCATTAACACTATGAACTAGATACATATGATATTGATCATTAATAAGCGATCAATCAGTGTATAAAAGATTCAATGTACTTAGTAATTCATCTTTAGTTTAAAACTGTATATAGTTCACTTATTAACTACTCTGTATTGTAATAGGCATTGAGTTAAGGTAAATGTTTTTGAAAGTATTACCTTATTTCTTAAATTAAGGTACATGAAGTTATGTTATAAATAAGTGAACCAATAAACTTTGATCCATCTATTTTAACTTAAAGAGCTGTTATGCCCCGATAAGTATGATGAATGGTAACTTTTAGGATTCATTTATGGATCATATACTATGCGTATATTTTGTATTGTATCATTGTTTTAAATAACTAAACTATCTGCATATTCATGTCCATCTTATTATAAGCTTTATTTTGACCTATGAACTGTTATTATATGATTTACCATTCTTGAATTATACCCTATCTATTTGTCACTGCCTCCCTCATTCACAGCCACTTTTAGCTAAATCTTGTACAAATGTTGTTTCCTATGTTATGGTACGATGTGATCTGTTTGATTGATATATAAACCCAGTCTGTTTGGAATATACGATTCATATCACAGAGGCTGAAATTGATGTTGTGGACTTAACTGGCAGAGTTAGGCAAGAAGCAGGACCAATCAGGACTCTAGACTGCTCGTACAGATTTTATGCCTCACTGGTCCGATCGATAATTCGTTGCTCTCTGATTGGCGGTATCATTAAGTTTAGATTAGCAGGGCATTCAAGCTACAAGTTATAGCAAGAGTTTGGTGGTACCTTTATACTTTGCAATCAAAAAAAGTATTGTAGTTATTATAATATAGTTTTCCATCAGTATATATTCGGTCTTCCAATTA